AAAAAAAAAAAAAAAAAAAAAAAATACAAGCAGATGTAACTGAATCGCCATGCAGCTTGGGTGGACCAAACCTTTCAGTTTACTTCCTCAAGAGACAAACAGAAATTGTCTGGCTTCCTAGATAGCCTGCAGGAAGGCTACTCAGCCCCAGTGGAAGCTTGTGTTATATGAGGGAGGTTCCCGAGGGTAACCACTGCCAGGTGAACCACTGTGTTTCCTCACCCTTTATAGAGACATCATTCACAGTTTAGCAGGAGCCTCTGCATGAGTGAACCTCAGTAGCCCACACCAGCTATTCTCATATTCTTTGATTAATTTCCTTCTTTTTCCCATTTCATTCCTTTAGATTTCTCTCTACCTTCTGAAATCACTCTCTAATGGGACAGTTGCCATGCAAACCACTTCCCCAGACTCAACACTTGCAGTTTATCTTTCAGATGAGAGCTTTCCTGCCGTGAGCATCAGAACCAGAACTGCTTACCCGGAAGTGCTGAGCAGTGAGTTCTTTGTTGTAGAGGGGAATAGGATAGTGAGCTGCTTGCAGATCCCTCAGAGCTGCAGACAATTTATCTTTGTCTCTGAAATTAGTAATCACATTTCCAATAGCCTTGAGAATTATTATAGACTGTTCCACAAATCGGTAGCTCTCCTGCAAATACAAAGTATACATGCAGCAGCTATGCACATATTTATTTGAGGGCAATTAAATTTGCAAATATTCAACCTTTGGGGAAGAAAATCCTCTGCTATATGATTAATTCGATGCTGTTTTATTTATAGAGAATAGACTGAGCTGTGGCATTCTATTGGATGCTATGATCTAGGAGACATGAAAAAAGAGCTGGAAGTCCTACAGGGTTTGGCAGTCCTACAAAAAGGACTGTGGAAAAGGAACACTAGCCCTTTGGAGGAGTTAGGAAAAACAGTTCTGAAGGATGTCTAGAAATCAGGCTGACAGAGACTGGGATTTTGAACACTAAAGGGTATAGAAGATTGTGGGGGGAGGGTCTTGCAAGATAAAGACCAGTGGGTGGGCTAACTTGGGCTGATGGCTCGCTCTAGTTATCCATTCTAAGAATGGGTAAGAGCTCCAAGCTGACAGAGATTCTTGGACACAACCCAGTCTGAAATGTCTGAAGCTTGTCCTGGTTGGTGTGTACTGGGTAGTGCTTGAGTTGCCTGCTTAGAGGAAGTTGGAGGAAAACTGAGCCATCTTTCCTGTTTCTCTAGGGGGTGTCATAGTGCAATCATTGTTTACTGAATGCCCACAGGACTGAGAATAGGTCCAACAAATGTGCCTGGACAACAAAGATGTCCTGCTGGGTGAGAAACAGACAGACATACAGATGCATTCTCATCTTAATGCTTGAATACCTACATTATCATTCCAAGCATCAGTGTTGAGGATGGTCTTGCCTCACTGGTGGTCTAAGTAAGCCTCTAATCAGAGGAATCATCTGTTTGTCTAGCAGATGATAGAATGATCAGTTATGACTCTCTTGGCTCATGGGCAAGGGGATGCCTTTTGCATCTCCGTTTAAATAAGAGCTTAATAGGGATTAATCTTGAGTGCATTAACCCTTATAACATAGGAGCATATATTATCATATGAAAGAGGAACTATTACAACAAAATAATCATCAGGAGTTAATTCTCCTGCAAGCTGGATAATGCACAGCACAGAGTAGAATTGTCTTAAAGAAGAATTTGAAGTAAGCAGGATAAAGCAAGGCAACAGCTTTGTAACCCCAGATATTCAGGATGCTAATGCAAGAGAACCACTTGTTGCAGATTAGTCTGAGTTACATCATGAGCTCTTGTCTCCAAAAACCCAAAGTAACAAAAACAAAGAAAAAAATTCCAGAACAGTCAAGGAAACAAAGGCTACCATATGAGATCAACTTGTTCTGTTAGTGCCAAATGAGCAGAATGAAAAGCATGTGGAGAAGAGACAGCACAGCCAACAGAAGGAAGCCTTGAAGAAGCTTATAGAGTCCTGCCTAGACAGGCTAGGGGGCATAAGTTAGGCATGTGTAGGCCATCAGAACCTGATGGAAAGAATCAGTCTTCAACCCTCTTGTTGCTACAAGGTATTCTGGCTGCCTTAGAGAATTTCATATTTGTACCATCTAGAGTTTTTAGCTTGTTTTCTTGGGTTTTTAGTTTGTTTCATCTGGACTTTTTAGCCAGTTATTGAAGATGAGGAAATACAGACAGCAGAAAATACCAAATTCTAACCTCCCCTGGGCACAGGTGTAGACAGAGAACACTGTAAACAAAGAAAGGGTTTTAGTGGCATCACTGCACCCATTTTCTTTTCAGAGCTGAGAAAACAGCAAGAAGAGAAGAGAAAGAGGAAGTGATGGATGCTTCCTTGACTCCTCTGAACCCTGAAGATACATACTCTAAATTCCCCAGAATAGAGAAGGGATGGAAGGAGGAGTCATGTTCACATTTTAAATGGCATCCAAGAAGACTTTACTTGTGCTTTACAACCTGCCCCCAAGGACCAATCCACCTACCAGATATACTGATAGAAGTGAAAGAGTCAATGGAGGAGAGGTGGCACAGCTGTCGTGGAAGAATTAACTTTGTTTCCCTACAGACTTTGGACTGTTAATTACAAAGCTTATATTTCAGCATTTGTTACAAGACATATTAATGGGTTTCAAAAGGGGGAGGGTTAAGCTCAAAATAGGATTGAGTTTAAACCTTTGATACTAGAGAAGAGGAATTTGCTAAGATACTTACTGGCTCAAAGTTGGGCAGTACAACATCTTCATCCCCAATGACAAATGTCATCATGCTGCAGACATGTAAGGCATGTCCCACGGGGGAGTATGCATTGAAGAGCAGCATATGCCTCCTAGGGAGAATGGACACCGTGTGAGGACTGTGCTTCCTATGTTGGATGTATTTTACCTCTGCTAGTTGCTTGATCAGAGTTTGAAACTTTAAGTCTAAAGTTAATGAAGAGTTATTTTCTTTAACACAGATAGGATAACTACCTTTGGAATTCTACTCTAGGAAAACCCTAGATAATCACAAAATCTGTGTTTTGCTGATTGCAGGAGACAGAAATAATTAGACAAAATGACAAATTTTCACACAGTGAAGATGCCTCCTACATCCTGTGCACTCAGGGAGACAGAGGCAGAGGCAGGAGGATCTCTGTGAGTTAGAGACCAGCCTGGTCTACAAAGCAAGTCCAGGGCAGTCAAGGCTACACAGAGAAACCCTCTCTCAAAAACAAACAAACAAAAAAATTTCACAGATAGATACTTTTCAAATCACTCCAGGAAACAATAATGTAGAACTCTCGTTACTTACTTCATTACTCAACAGTCTAAAAGACCCCAAAATGAGAAAATGATGTCAGACCCTACCCGACAGGCAGGTGCACCATGGTGGCCTTTGTAGCATAGGTGTGCATCCTCAAAACAGCACTGAGAGGCTTCAGGGACTTCCAGGTGATTGCTTCAACTGTCAAGAGCCCAGGCTCCACATGAGGACTGTCTTTTGTTAGGGCTTTAGGAGAAGGGAGATGTGTTGAAATGTGATTATGAAAGGATAGCTGGCTTCCATTTGCATTGTTTTCTGTCCGATAAGGACATATGTAATCATGAAGGTGGATCACGTACTGAAAATATTCTAAAGGCATTCCTGAAATGCCAGAAGCTTAGTGTATAAGTATGGGAAATAGTGCCTAGTTTGGCTGTTGCTGTGCCCCCCTGTCCAGTTTCATCCTCATAATCATCTCCTCAGATGAAAACTTAGGATGAGAAAATTGGGAAAAGGAGAACATGCAGATATATTTCATTGTGTCTGCCAATATTTTTTAATCATTTCTATGTGTATGATTAGAATATCTTCCCAGATGCAACTTAATGAGAAAAACTGAAATATCCAGAATATTAAGAGATTTCCAATATGGTGTTTAAGAAAATCAAAATACTCCCTTGTCTATCTAAGTGTTTGCCTTTCAAATTCAGAGAATCTTTGGATTTGGGTAGAAGTTGCAAGGAACAAAATTTAACATTAATATCAAGAAGTTTTTCTTCTTTTTTTTTT